TTAAAATATATTAATTAATCTATTATATTTCAAACAATATAACTTGGTTTTTATTTATTAAAGCACTGGACACAACACACCACTCGGGGTTTGTATACCTATGACAAGGTTTATTATTTTAAAAATATGTGGACAAGCATCTCTCTTTGCCCCTCTGATCGTATATCTTCTAAACAAATAAAGACTCAAGAAAATATATCAGTTAATGATTTGTTAGTTGTAACTTTGATTAGAAAGGCTAAATTAAGCAACCTTTTCAAACCAACTGAGGTTCCTTTAAAATTTCTTATGTTGGTTGAAATGTGCATTATCAGAAAGAAACGTAAAGCTGAATTATTCACTACTAGTACTAATAATTTGTTGTGGATCGATTTTGAATGGTAGTTAGATTTTAAGGAACCTATAAAACAAAGGCATGTATGACATCGCCTTAAACATAAGTGGAGAAAGCTCCAACATGCCTTGAACTTGCGAAGTGAAAATTCCACTAACATGATTATTAAGAGTATTACTAGGCGAGAAAAGACCAGATTAATTATGTTAGCACATGAAAATTTTCAATCTCTAAAGAATTTGGTCCAATTTTGTTATATGGTTAGCCCAGAGTGTATTACTAATTTGGATGGTCAAACTATAATACATTTAGAACAGCTAGATAATTACGATGCTGTAATCCAAGCAACCAATGCTGTAGATTATTACTATTTCCATACTATAAATAATCCATCACATCGAAGTCATGAATTTTGGGCAAATTTAATTGAACATTTTGGAGCTTATGCATTATATAACATTCTCCCATATACTAGTTCCAATATAGCCAGTTCATATAACTCCGATCATCAAATATGTGTAAACAATTTACTTCAAAAGCTTAAATCACTATCAGATAGTATTAACCAATTTTTCCAAGATTGTTATAAAAATCTTTATAAGAAGTTAAACAATTTATCTTGGAGACCTTTCGCATCTCGCCTATTTGGGGTTTTTCCCATGATTGCAATTAATTATAATAGTATAAGTGATTTTCACTAGGATGAACATGATGAACCTAATAGTCTTTGTTGTCTTGTTGCTTTAGGTGATTTTGAGGGTGGTGAGTTGTGTTTTCTGCAACTACAAATTGTAGTAAAACTCAAACCAGGTCAGGTTGTAGCATTTTTTTCTCGCCTTTTGCTTTATAGTAATTTTTCAGTCACAAAAGAAATCCGATATAGCATAGTATATTTCGTACATAGTTTGTTTTTTCATCATTTACGTAATTTCACATCAGTTTATAATGATCTTGAGGAAGGGATTGAGAGAAATGCTCGTGGATCAATTGTTTCAATAATCTCTCGTCAAGATCTTAATAATGCTCAAGGGTTGAATTGACAAACTCGACTCTTGAACCCAAAGGCAAATCAAATAAAAATACCACCTCTATCTTCAGACTATAGGCGAGGTCATATTAGTTTGGTGCATGCTAGGCATGGTTTGAGGGCAGAAGATTCACTTCCTAATTTATAACGATAATAGAAATTAATGTATATTTTACTGTATTATAGATTTTTATGGCATATAGTTTAAAGCGTTTATATAATAATTTTTTTTTTAGCAAATACTGTAAATACTTTTTAAAAAATGCATAAAACCGATTTTATCCTGGACTCGTTATTTAGATAATTTTGAGAACAAAGTTATTGAAATTCATCATAAGATAGGAGTTACCAATAAAACTGTAAGAACTCAGATATACAAGAAACATCTACCTGGCATTATATCTGTCGCCTTGTGAATTAAAACTCTTAGGGCTAAAAAATTTGTAAGTTATTTGGAGAAAATAGTGTTGGATTTATCTAATAAATAAATAAACTCTGCCTAGTTCCTGTGATAACGATCGTAATTCATACCGATTTACTTTTGATTGATAACTCGAGATAAATTAATTGATTCAATTATACTTGCCCAGAGCCGATATAATTCGAGAGATTACAAAGCCTTATTCTTATCATAAATAAAGCTCGATATTTTATATTACTCTTATTCATAACCCAAATAAAGTCAATAGCAATAGGTTAGTAAACTCAATTAAGTTCAAAAAAATAAAATTTTGATGGTGCATGAGTTGTAGAACCAGACGTTATATTGAAGTACTTTCCTATATTTGTAGTAGTTAACTCAAGTAAAACGGCACTCTGCATCTGATTCATCCTCTAAATCGCTTAATAAATTTTTACACTGCCTTCTCTATTTTTATTCCAATTATGGTTAGCTTTTAATAAGAAAACCAGTCCCACAGCCCCAAATCATATACATATCAACTGTCTATTCTAAATTTGTAGATCTGGAAGTGCTGTCGAATGATTACGGTGCCAAATATAGTGATTTCATGTTGAATTATTTACAGCTAGATATGGTGTGATGACATAGCCACACGCATATATATATAAAACTCAATTTTTTGATAGTCCATAAGCTAAATATTCCATCTTGCCTTCATGTCAATAAGACGATTGCTCAAGTTATTTGCATGGGTTCATGGAATTCAACAGAGCCATGATAGTCCTGTGCTTTAACGAAGGTGTTTTGTCTGGTCCATGAAAATACACAACCTAACCATACCCCACCTTCTCATGATAAATCACTCAAAGCCAGATATAGATAGTTATCAATTTTTTAAAAGTATATCTTTTTTCGAGCTTGCGAGAAAAAAGTAGATATAGTCTTCTCAGGTGTAGTTATAGCCTTTCGAGGCAAGCCTAGGATCCGACTATTACCTCTCTGCAATTTACTTCTTCTTCCAATAAGTCATGCAAAAAAATTTCGTCTCTATTGAGCGATAGGGCCTCGGGCTTGGTTTTTTCACATTTACAAAAACCCAATTTTAGAGGGCATGATCATTACTATAATTGTTTATGTAGTAAGGAGAGGAAGACTGAATGAGCTTCCCATGGTTTAGTCCACTGAGCTACGAGATAAGAAATCGTTTGAATATATCCACCTCACTTTTTATTTATTATACTTCTTTCTGAGATAGTCATATAAAAAATTTCATCTATAACTTTAGGCAATAGGGCCTCTAACTTAATATATTTAATTGATATTCATTCATTACAATACCTCTCGCAAAAATTAAATCCAGAATTAAGGAAGTATTAAGTTAATAAAATCTAATAGGTCTATAAACAATATAATCGTTAAAAAAATTATAAGTCAAATAATCATTAAATATATCTAGTTTAGTTATTCCTATTGCTATTGACAAAAAAAATAGAAGATTACCCAAACCTTTTAATAACCATCCTGGGTATGATCTGAAATATGTGGAATTGTATATTAACAAATATTGTGGCATTAATGATTATCAACGATTCTTTGATGAACTTTTTGAAACTGAAAGACGATATGATACACTATTAGTTATTAAACCATATAAAACTCCAGTACAGTGGGCTATTCGAGTTAGAGTTCCTTTACAAGAGCTAATCTCTGAGAGAAAGAGGAGTGTTTACCATGTACATGCTCTATTTCTAGCATTCAGTAAGGGTAAATTTGTAGATCATAATTACTACTGACCTAGAATTCATAAAACTCGTATGGCAATTTGTCTTAATTGTATGAAGCTTATTCAGGTTAATAATGTGAAGCTAAAAAAGAAATTTCATCACACTAGAGGTAGATATGTAAAAATTCTCGAACCTAAAGACCTGATGCAAGAACATTGGGATCATGATTGTAATAAACCAAAAACTAGAGATGGTTCGGCAAAAATTATTCAAAATGTTTGGAGACGATTCCAAGAAAAAGTACCATCGAATGCATGACTTGCTTGAAACAGCTTAGCAAATGATAATACTTTGGATGATATGAAATTTTTAGGTTTAACAAGATGTGAAGTGAAAACTTCTCAGACTCGAGAACAATTTAATCAGTGGTGTACTAAATGGATTGAATTATATAAAAACAATCCTATGATGCGCAGTTCCATTATTAATAGACAATATAAAGAATATTATATTCTGGATAATTGGATAGAATGGAAAAAGAGTCAATTGCAGATTAGATTCCAAAAGTGACTTTTAGAGATAGAAGCATAGTATTTATTCGATTTATTAATTCCTTGCAGGTACAAAATACCTATACTATTTATATAATATTTTTTGGCTGTGCTAGTTCTACTGATACTCTTGAAGACATAGATAGGTAGTTGTCTACCGTTTTTCTAGAGGCAGAGCCTCATTTCTTTGCAATAATGCTATTCTTGAGATCATAATTGAGAAATATATTATGAAATTTCTGGAATAGAAAATACCAATGTGAAATAAAAATCTATGAAGTAGGTAATATATTTTTTTTCTTGTGCTTTTGCTGTAACTCTATCTCTTTTTGCAAATCTAGTGGAGTATTAAACCTTAGCCAAATTGCAAGTAGATCATCCTCAGGCCTATCTAGATCAAATACAATAAATTCGCCTTTGCATAAGTAGCTATTAATAACCATTGATGCATTTTTTACGTCATCTGTATATCTACGAATAATTTTAGAAACATCTTCATATGAACTACCAGAATTAAAGAGTACTAAGTAATTAGCATTTTCATGCATGAATGTAGTGATTTTATGATATTTCTGTGCTACAAATATACATGAAATATTTCGATGTCACCCATTTCCAAAAAATTGGCTAATTCAATTCTGTATATATTCTGAAGCGAGACACAAATCCTCAAAAACAATTGCTGTACTTTGTTCAGGTGAAAATGCTTTTACACTAGGAATTTTTTCTGGTGAAATATAGCTAAATCGTATATTTTCATAGTAAGGTGCTTTTGGGTCTTTTGAAATTATGCCATACATATATCTAATGAATGCCCATTTTGGCTCATCAGGATGATAACCACAAACTATTAAATCATCACAAGAAATATATCTTCTATCACCTTTTTTTCCTTTATATATGTATTCAGCTATATCACCCAGAAAAAGATTTGTTAAGATATTAGTCTTACCTAATTCACTTTTTTCTGTAACTATCATTCTAAAGGGTCATGTTGGACTAGCTGGATGCGATTGACAACGAGATGCAATATGTTTATTAGCTTTGTCTATATCCATAAGGAATAGTTTTATAGGAGGTATTTTTGAATTTTTTTGCATAGCAGATTGGGAATCCATAACTCTGTTTTCTATATACTGGATAAAAATTTTCTTTCCCCCCATAATTCACTTCACTTTGTTCATTCATGGTCAGTTTATATATTCCAGAAAACAAATTACCAGAGGTGGTCATACTGTGGGTAAAATCTGGCTTCAAGTTCAAAGAACAAGAAGACGGAGTTGGGTGAAAATTTTGTCTATATATATACCATATAATTAATAATATTATCAAGGCAAAAATAACAAACTTAATAGGAGTAGTTTGATACTTATTAACTATGCTAGCACCTAATGCTATAATAGGTAATTTCTCACTCCTTCCTATTGTAATATTATGAGATCTAATCAGAGTCACATTCTTTATCTCTTGAAATTGGTTTTCTGCATTGATTGGTTGTAATATATTATCTTTATTATTTTTGTTAATAATAGTTTCATCACTTACTTTAGAAGTAACCTCAGTATCAATTTTTGAAGATTCTAATATTAGAACAATTTTATCATTGGTATGAGTCGGTATATCAGTGCTAATTTTTTCGACTTCGTTCATAATTTTTCTGCGTGCAAAATATTGACTGAGATTTTTGCTAGTTTCACTATCTCCACCAACTACAGATATCAAAATATCCTCTGATTTTAGACGCTCAAGCTCACTGACCTTAGAATCTAATTCAATCTTTATATTCACCAATTCAGCTTTGAGGAAGATTATCTCAGAATCTTTTTTTGATGAGTATTTCTGAGTTAAAGATAATTCTTCTTCCAATGATTTAATTCTAGATTGGAATGAATTCGCTTCTTCCAACTTACTATAATACTTGGCTTTATACTCAGTAAGGTTGGTATTTTTGCTTTTCAACTCTTTAATTTCTTCTTTGAGTTGTTTTTTAATCAAGTCATTTTGATTTTTGTCATTAATGTACCAATTTAATTTTTTCTAGAGATGTAAAATCTTGTTATTTTTTTTCTCTAACACTTTAGTAATCACATCAGATCATGCTTCTGCAAAAGCTTTAGCATTTCTAAATTCGGACTATTTATTAGCGAAAAATTCGATTTTAAGAAGCAACTCATTGCATTGAGATTCAAGTTCACGTTCTCTATTATCTAATTTATATTCACATCCTTGAAAATTTTTGGCATCAGTAGATTCACTATACAAAGTATGTATTGGTGTCATATAATCGAAGAGAATTATGTTTAAAGAAAAAAAACTAATCGCAATTTGACTTTTTACTGATTATGAATAAAAAGAAACCCAGATAATAATTGGTATTTAACCAGGCAATAATTAGGCGAAAGTTAGTAATTAGCTGGGCAAAAATTGATACTTAGCTAGGCATAAAATAATATTTAACCAGTTTTATATGAAAATAGATCTATAATCAAGTTAGTACTAATTATTTCTCAGTTTTTGTCTGATTTGTGTCTGATTATTGTCCGATTATTACTCAGTTTTTATCCAATTATATACTAGAAATGAATGGATATTTTCCTAGATTTAAATCGGATATTTTTTTAATATCATTATATATTTTTCTAAAATGGTTAAAACCAAAGGTAGATCTCGAGTTCGACAATATCTTAACCCTACTGCTACTTCATTAACTCCTGAAGCAATCGAAAAAATAAGGGATGCTTATGCAAAACAGATACCAAATAGAAAACACATTATGTGTGCTAATTATAAAATTGGTAGTGAAAGATATGATGATATTGTAAATGGCCAGATATATCCTCAACCATTTGAAATAGAAATAACATCTATGAATTCATCTATCTCAATACCTCAACAAGAAATCTTGCCCATACATAGCTTATCAAGTGTCAGAAATCCTGAGCAAATAATTTCTTTGAGCAAACCAGTGACAAAAAAGACTAGCAAAAAAAAGAAAGTCTCACATAATAAGGAACTTCCTAGTTCTAATATTAATAAGACAAACTTTGGTGTGGAATTATCTAAAGGTGAAGATCGATCAGAATCAAAAACTATAAATCATTCTATCTCATCAATACCAGGGAGTGATGTGCAAGCTAGAATGGAAAATTTATGAGAATATAAAAAACAGCTTCAAGCTGAATCTTGAAATCATATCAATTCTTTTTTAAGATATTCTGCATAATCAAGAGCTCTAATAAATTCCTTTTTAATAGTTGCTTTATTTTCTAGATTTTTCATATCTGATATGATTTGAATCTTGGAATGAAATTCTAATCTGTGAAAGAAATCGATTTGTTTGTCAGAATCTATTATGTTTAAAGCCATATCAAGCCATTCTTCAGTCTTTATAAGTCACTTTTCAAGTGCGTCATATTTTTTTTTAAGTCTTCACCATTATGCATATCTGATGTTCGTTGCTCTGGTTCACTAACCCCTGGAGGCTTACTAAAAGTTGGGATAGTGTAAGTCTTTCCATGTAACTTCATTCGAAATTGGTTTTTACTAGGGTCAAGAACACCATGAACCTTTCGAATTTATGTCATACCTATACATAGCATTGGCTCAGATTCACCATTATTAATATGAGCAAAATTTCCAGTAGACGTAACAATCTTATCATCTTTGTCCTTTATACTAATTGGCATATCTGTATATCATCCTAATGATTCAGATATATGTTTGGAATTGCTCTTTATAGCAAAGTCAGAAGGTTTATCAGCTTTCCACTCCAGAGCATTAATTGTTGCATCATTTACTCCCCCAAATTCACTTGCACTATCTAAAAAAGAATTAGTGATCAATAGATCATTTATATTACAATGCAAGTATTGCAATAATGAAAACCATTCATTTAATTTTTATTCTTTTTCCTAAGCTATATGAGACTGACATATTTTACGCATTGCTAGTGAAAGCTTTGATAATAGTTCATCGTATGTTTCAAGCTGACTAAGTTCTGAAAGCATTTTTTCATTTACTAGTACTTGTTTTTTTTTTCTAACTGAAATGGAGCATGCCATCTATTCTCTTCCTCATTATATTCATCTTCACTATCCTCATTATCATCTGAATCAGGAGATGCATATTGGGATTGGGAAGGTATTAGAGGAGGAAAGTATCGATGTGTTAAATTTGATTTAGCTACAGGTTTTTTGGATTGATTTTCAAGCATTATCCTTCCAAATTGAGATGTCATTTAACTGATTTCATCTACTTTCGATTCTATTCTATCTATTCTAGTATTCTGGTTTGATGAATATATTCATTCTGGATGAGGTTTTTGAAAAGGCTTTATAGGATAATTTCTCTCTAAATCTTCTGTACTAAATATATCTAAATTATTTAAGTATTGTGATAAATAATAATTTTTCATATCTTTTTCCATTTGTAATGAAGGTAGTAGACCTCTTGGCTGTCTAACTGCTTCAAAAGTTTGAGGAGCAGTTTGCTTAGCCATTTGAGATTCTAATTCTGTAACTTTCTTTACTAATGTCTGGTTTTCAGTTTTTTGTTGCACTAGTGCATTCTGAATTGCTTTTTGCATATCTTCTAAAGAAATTGTATGCCCTTGCTGTTGAGGAGCTGAGGTAACTAGTGGTAAAGAATAGGATACTGGATTTATACTAGGTAAGGCTTGAACTTGATTAACAATTTGACTTGATTTCTCTGGGATCCTTCCACTCAAATTTTGCCTATGCTTTAGCCACATATTTTTTAGTTCAGTAAAAAATGCATTAATGCCTACAGGATTAACAATTCTCATCCAAGTATAAAAATTGCCTGTTAAATGACTTTTAAGAAATCCCAAAACTTGTGCATCATTGTCTGCTACTCCTAATAATAGTGGTCGAATTCTGGCTTCATAGGTATCAGGAGTATCATAAGGCTGATATCTTTCTTGAGTCAATCTTTGAATAGCCGATTGTTAATTTCCAACAGTTTCTCGCTGATATTTTGCTCTCATCCAAGCCCGTAATGTATCTGGAGAATTTATAGCTGGATTTTTTACTACAAAATTATTATTTGCTAGTACTGAAATATATTTTTCACCCATCATAGATTTTAAAATATTACACTTGACTGCATTGTCAAAATCTCCTGCATTTGCATTCTCAAGAACTGTCATATGCCCTTCAAGATATGCCCATGATTGAATAACTTTATTCAAGTAATCATCAGGTGGTTCTTGGCCTGTATAAGATGGAAATTTTGCAAGAGCAGGAGCCATTAATTTTAATACCGGTAAACGTCTAGCATCAGCCATGTTTATTTGATTTGGTGGATTATTATGAAGCGCCAAAATTTGTTGCTGTAAATTTAAAATATTCTGGCACTCTGCATGGGTCTTATTTTTCCATTTTGTATATCGCTCATAGAGTCTGTCTCTATTATATTCTAATAATCCCTTATTAGCTTTGCATTGTTGTAGGTGATAGGCATTTCGCTGATACAATAACTGGAAAGCAAAATTTTTACATAGCAATTCACTAATACGGGTTTGTTTTCCTGCTATATTATCTATCATTCTATTTACCTGGTTTTGTGCATTAGTTCACAACTGCTGAAGATCAAGCAATGCCTGATCTCGCTCCTGCCTGTACGTATCTCAGTCCCATCGTACGTTTACCAGATCTTGTTGTAGGTTAGTGTATTTATGTCAGATTGATCTTGTTGATCTTTTAATTTGATTTGTT